GTGTGTGTGTGTGTGTGTGTGGTCTTAGCTGGCACAGTCAGTCCCATGACCAGCTCCACAGTGTGTTTTAGAAATGGAGCAAATGTCACAGCGAGCACTGTGGAAGCAGTGATTCAATAGTGGAAAAGCATGGAGATGTGGGAAGTTTTCAATTCATGAACACCAGCACTAGTATTTGTATAAAGGGGCAACACAATGGCTGGCAGTGTTGATGGGAATTAACAAAACTCTCTTACCTTTGCCAAGTGGGAATTGATCCATTTCGTGAACGTCCTCTTCTGCACTGCCTCCTGCTCATCTGTAAATCAGAGCCCAGAGCATCACTATCAGTCACATGCAACGATAAACAAAGCGGGGGATTAAAAATACAATCTTCCCATTGTGTATTGTTTTTGAGAGTCGACTGGCTGTGCAGAGCTGGATGGCGACTCTAATTAACTTTGATATTGTTAACTTTCTGTTTTATGTGTCTGAATGCAGCCGCATCAAATCACACCTTACACTGAAGAAGATATTTGACATTTGAAGATGGCATTTTCACTGGCTGGACTCTAAATGTGGACAGAAAATCCTGCTCTGAGAAATGCGCTTTAGATGAGAGAAGGGCAGTGGTTCCACGACATGTACCTCTAATGATCTATGTGAGGCTTTTATTCATTTCTGACTGCAGTTCAAGCAGCATTCAATGCTGATGCTAAATAAAAGCCAACCTAACCCTGATTGAACTTTTAGAGTAGCATATAGGGAAGGACATTGTTTGTGGAGGCTACATGTGCTGCATGAAGTCCTTTAAACAAACACAATCAATAGAATAGATGCTGCTCATGCATCAAAAAAAGCCACTTCACTTAAATGAGAACAAGACAATAACCAAGCCTTATCTGTCATGTGTGCACAGCAAACAATACATGCATATAAACACAAACATTATAGGGATGGTAATGCAACGATTTAGAAGCAACTAGGGCTGTGATGATTCTGTAACAGAGACCAAAACCATGATACAAACATTCACCATCAAATATCGCAATACAGGAAGATTGAAAACCAATTTATTGAGCTCTAATTACTTTGTATTGTTGTTGATGTGAGGCGACAGTGCTAAACCACCCCACCATCATGCCTTAATCATACAATCATTATCATATTTAAAGTTATAGCAAACATTTATTTTATTTCATTGTCTTCCAACTGCACGTGTGAAAAAAAAAAAGGAAACCAAAATGCGTGTTTGGAGAATAATTCCATCATTTCAAACAACTGATGTCCCTGTTGCAATTCATCCTCCCTGAAAACAAAATTGGACTTCTGTCACAGGTAAATAATTAATTTGCTACTGTCACTCATGTCCCATTATAACATGCACAACACAGATGTGTAGTCTACCTGGGACTCTGCAGTGACAGTGCTTTTTTTCTGCACCATCTGCCCCACAGAGCAATATCCTTGAGATAAGCAATGAGTTATCAGCAAGAGAGGACGTCTGACACAGAGCTTTCTTCTACTTAATGAAATATGCTGAAGGTTTGATTACACTCAAGTTGGTTAGTGTGTCACTAGGTGGTGTGTGTGTGTGTGTGTGTGTGTGTGTGTGTGTGTTTGTGTGCGTGTGTGTATGTGTGTGGGATGGTGGGTCGTTCATACATAATGCAGATACATTCATGCATAGTCATACGTGCAACTGAGCAGGTCCCCCTTCTATGAATTAATCTTATGATTGGGTCTGGGAGTAATCAAATATTGATGGGTGGTAATATTGGGTGAGAATGAGAAAGTCTTCGCCTCCTGAATCCAGCAGCAGGGACGTGTGACGGAGAACATGTCTGCATGTACGTGATGCCAGCCTCCCAGTCTCAGGGACGAGGTGACTTTGAACTCTGCGCACACGCACACACACACACACACACACACACACACA